ATTGCAAAGTTATTTAGCAATCAATCACATACCAATTGTACTAGTTCTACCTCTTATATTATTGTTTATATCTTGTTTAAGAATTTAACTTTTTTATGTTCTCAACTGGCTTGTAAACTCAAATCAGAAACCGTATATTACACAAACTTCTTACCTTTTACCTGCAATATCAGATACAAGGTTCTCAATAATGGCTCAGTGATCAATGAATGAATGATGAAGAGTATTGGTGCATGTTGCAGATAAATACATGGAAAATATTTACTGATACTCAGTTATACCGACCACCAAACTAAGACACTGAGACTAATTGAATATAAAACTTGGCTTGAAGAAGCTTACAACCCAGAATGGGGAAAAGATGTATAGTAATCAATAATAAGGGTGTGATTTTACTGAATAATATGCTAGACATATAAAGACTGTATATTTTAAAGCCCTAAATACTTATTCAAAATTAAGTGATGTTTTTATTGTTGCTGTTTTATCTGAGTTATACCTCAAAGGCCTTTCTAGACCTTCAATCACTAATATTCATGAAGTTAAAATAAGGTCTGACATAGGTGAAAATTGTTCAGTCATGATAAGTGATGGATATATAACATTAATTTTTATATTCTCCCTACAATGTGTTGAAAGTATTCAGAACACAAATGAAAAGTAGTAGATCACAAATAACAGTAAAGAAAAATCCCAATTACAAAATAGAAACTGTCATTTCAAAGCATGATTTTGTTTTTAGATTGAAGACGCTCAGGTTCAAGACACTGGTCGCTACACTTGTGAGGCAACAAATGTTGCTGGAAAAACTGAAAAAAACTATAATGTCAACATTTGGGGTAAGTGTGATTAGATAATTAATTCAAGAGCAATTGTAGATAGACTCCTGGAATCCAAATGAGTCAGTCATTGTAAACATGTTAGTCATCTACTTTGAGGTAGACCAGTTCTCCTCTCCAGCCTGCATGGTATGTTGTTTCTATAAACGGGGTCTCCTAATGGAGCCTTCCCAGTGAATTGATAGTGGTTTGGTCAATTGAAAATAAGTCAAAAGACCAAATTTTGCCTGTGGATTATGTGTGTATGTTTGTGTGTGAGAGAGAGAGAGCACATGAACTTGTGGAAGGGAGATGGGATTATTATGCCAGCCAGTGAGAAAAACCTCTCCTTGCTTGAAATTTTACCATTTGGTACTAACCAAGATAATTCTTAGGAATTATCACAACTTCTACCTTGGCTGTGGCTGCCTGATAATTGTTAAAAATTATTCCCATTTCCTACATATTCCCCTTTATTTTAAATATTTCTTTAAATGTATTTATAACATCATGTCTTCTTAATTTTGATTGTATTGGTTTAAACTTTATAACTATTGTGATAATGAGCTGAAATTTACCTTTGATTTATAAAAGTTTATTCAAATCACATTTTTAAATAGTAATAAGCAGAGGAAATAATTTGAGTCCAATGGAGAGCAAATATTTTTTAAAACTTTAAAAATAAGCATTTATATAGAAAATGACTTGTTAATTATGAATCAGTATTTTTAAAATTCTTAAGGAAGATTATGAGAAGTGCTATTATTTTCCCTGTGAAAGGATTTATTTACCTTTAAATCATAAAATTTACTAAGTAGTAAAATTTTATTTACTGCATATTAGCAATGTATCATTAATGCCTCTTCCTGCCTTCCTCTATCCTTTTCCTCCCTCATTGCTCCTTTCCTTCTTCTCTCATTTTTTTCTAAGAAAAATATTCATACAACTCCCAATATGTGCAACACACTGATCTAGGTGTTGTCAAGTAAAGATTGAAAAAAGAAATAAAAGAAATGTTAGGATTAATGATCAATTAGAAAGTGAAGTGAAGAATTCATTATTAAAACGCTATATTGGAGATACCTGTGGACCATCCATGTGAAGCTGTCCACCATGTGGTCAGAACTTTGAGCCTGTAATTTAGGAGAGGAAGATAAGAATTCAAATAAAAGGGAGAAATAAAATTGGAGACATGAGTAAATAATGTAGCAGTTGAGATCCCTTAGAGAGCATAAAAAGAATGTGTACAGAAATATATTGTAGAATGACTCTCACACATACCATATAGGAAAGGAGACAGAAATAGAGACCCCAAAGGAGAAGCTGAGAAGAAAACAGAGGTAGGGGGGAAAAATGGGTAAAACTTGCATCAAACTAGGGACAATGGTGTTCCAGACAACAAATAAGTTGAACATGGATGGGTGGGTGGGTTGCATGAATGAATAATGTCACATATTTCATAGAAATCAAATTAAACATAATTTAACAAAAACATAAAAATGTAGTTTACAAATGAGGACACCAATGTCTCTTTAAAAAAAAGCAAATTAATAGTGGAAACCTAATGCAATATAAGGACGACTGAAAGGGGAAAGAAAGTTGAGACATCAGGATAGATACACTCAAAAAATATTTATGTTATGTCTCTGTGTTCTAGACATTATGCATGTATAGGCAAAGAGAGGGTAACGAGAAAGACAAGGTTCACATAGCATCTGCTGGTATACAAATATCTTTAAATAGTCAATTAAAATTAAATCACCAAGAGCTCTCATAGGAGGTTTCATGGGAAATCATATCAGGGGCTCATGACATCTAATTGAGAATTTAAAGGTGAATAGGCATCAGCTCTGAAGAGGAGAGAAGCATTGCAAGGACCTGGAGAACACTGTCTGCATTCAGGGAACTGAACATCTTTCATGTGGGAGCCTAGTAAGTGCAGAGAAGAATGAGATGTCAGGTAGGAAAGGCTGGAAAGAGCAGATTGAAGGGACCTCTAAAATGAATTCTTAAAGTATGAATTTAATTCTAAAGGTAATGGGATACCATTAAAAGGATTTAAAAGAGGACTGGAGTGTAAAATCAGATCTGTATTTGGGGAAAAAAGCAGACAGACTCTAGAAGTATTTAAGAAATGAATTAACAGAATTAATTGCTTAGATGGAGAGGTGTGGAAATAAAAAAGAGTAAAGAATGGATGTCTGTATGGGCTGGTGGAACAGTAGTTTCCTTCCCTCACAGAAGGAAGAAAGGTGGCTGAGGTCAGTTGTAGGCAAGGGAAGGTTGACAGTGCCTCTAAGCCATCCTAGTTGAGAGTTCAGTAGTCAGATACAAAAACTAGATCTCAGAGGGGGTCTGCATTACAGATACAGATTTACAACTATTTGTATTAGCAGAAGCCTTGGGAGTCGAGGAAGGCTGAATTTAGGTTGGAGGCCATGAATTTGTAGTGGTGGCAATATGTGTAATTGTTAGGTTCTTCTGTAGAACTTCCCGTCTGTAGCGTAGGCGATGACAGTAAACTAAAGAATTCATCCCGAGTAAGGCTGTTGCCAAATAGAAAGGCCGACAGAACAAGGAGAGTAGGACTACCGGCTAAGGAGTTATTGGAATTACTGATCATGAAAGCTCATCTGAATAGAGAAGTCAGTAAGCAAAGCAGTGGACAGCCAGATTGGGAGGCTTCTGAAAAACTGAAAGAATGCAATTAGGTCAATGAATTGAGAACTGGGAATAATTCAGTGGAAGGATAGAGCAGTTATCAGAGAGTGGCCTGAACTTATAGGAGAAAGGTTCCAGATGACAGAAAGGCAGGGCCTCTGATGGAGAAAGGGATGAGCAGATCAAGGAATGGAGTAGCCACAGTGTTTATACTGGTTACACGTGTGGATGTTGGTTTCTACCGCAGGATGTCAGGTCTTCATCTGTAGAAGGGTACAAAACAAGTAGCAAAATTTTTCAGTGAATGGAAAATGAATGACAGGTTCACAGATCGTGGGAGGAAAGAGAAAGAGGAATAAATTGGTGGCATGAGCCTCAAAGAAAGAAAGACTTTTCATGGGGGAGTGAATGAAAATGACTGCAAGCTGCATTGGGGGTAAGGAGGATTCTCCCACTCCTCAACTCCCAGGAGCTCAGGAGAACAAGCATCCGATACCAGGTGAACTGAAGCCAGAGAAGAATCCAAGAGGGGAGTTTGGCCAGCAAATGTAGACTCAGCCGCTTTGAGAGAAACATGGGTAGTTTCTTTAAAGGTTCAAATTAAAGGCTCCAAAGAGAAACTGGAGGCTGGTGGGAGGCAGGCTGTGCAATCTAGAATACAGTAGGTAACGTGCATTTCTGAGATCAAACCCCTTGCCTCTCTGTCCTTTGCTATAATGTTATATAAAAACCTGATGTTTTCCAATTTTGTTCAACATCTGAGATATCAAAACTGGCTAGGTACAAATAATTGGGTTAAATTCAAACATGGTAGGTGCCTTAACTTTTAGAGCAAATATCTAAATATCTGTAACATATTAACTTCTTATGTCACTGAATATTTTGATAATTAAGTTTCTTCCTGTGAAAATGGGAAGTCTGCTATTAGGTATTTATTCTAAATCTCAGAGTTGACTTTAAATGCCTTACTGATATGTCAGCTTCAAATGCTAATTATTTTCTTGTGTCATTTGAGTGGGAATCTTTTTTTTTTTTGCATGCCAAGTGGTAGGGAAATTTTATATTAAATAAGTGTAAAAAGAGTAGTTTTTATTTTGTTCATCTTTCAGTACCACCAAATATTTATGGTTCTGATGAACTTGCTCAGCTTACAGTCATTGAAGGGAATCTCATTAGTCTGCTTTGTGAATCAAGTGGTATTCCACCCCCAAATCTCATTTGGAAAAAAAAAGGTCAGTTTTAACTTTTTCACATTTATAAAATTACTAAATATAATTATTAAGTGAATTTGTATTTTGTTTGACAAACATATTGGTTTATTAACAAAATCCTGGGGTTTGTCTACTAATATATTAGCATAATTGCTTTCTATTCAATGTGCAACATATGTTAGATGTATGCTGTCTAGCTGAAAATCTTGTTTTGAAACTAATGACTCTCCAGAAAAAATTTATTTTCTGCTAGTTGTTTTGTAATCAACTGCTTCATAGAATAGCTGTAATGATTAAAAATCTACCAAATGTGCTCACTTCAGCAGCACATATACTAAAATTGGAACAATACAGAGGTTAGCATGGCCCCTGTGCAAGGATGACATACAAATTCATGAAGCATATTAAAGACATCTGTACTAAAAAAAAAACAAATCTACCAAAGAACTATTTCCTCTTCCTTAGAGTAGGGTTAAAGTTATTTTTCTATGGCAAACATATTTACTGTGTTTTTGACAATTTTTTACTGTATGGTAAGATTGAATTCTACAGTTGAACAGATTCTCAATTGGCTCATCAATAAATATTTATTTATGTCTATTAAGTATCAGACAGATCATCTAGATTTTTAGTTGATTTTTTAAATCATTTTGTTTTTCTGTTTTGAGGTTTTATTTTGTTTGTTTTTCTGTTTGTTTTCTTTCTGATGCAGTCTTGATGGAAAGAAAAAATCGTGGAAGATAATCCTGGTAAACATTTCCTCCTCTTCCTTTTTGCATAGGATTATTTTACAGTGTCATCTGACTTAGGTACTTGAACTAGGAAGTAAATGAATATACATACTTATCAGAGTATGTACACAAAATGCTTTATATTTTGCTTCACAGTCTATCATTTGGTTTTCTCTGCAGACTCCCTGGTGCTGGCGGAGTCCACAGGGCGAGTCAGAACTTTATCTGGAGGTAGACAGTTGCAGATCTCAATTGCCAAAAAATCTGATGCAGGGCTCTATACGTGTGTGGCATCAAATGTTGCTGGAATCACAAAGAAAGACTACAATCTGCAAGTTTATAGTAAGTCATTGATTAGCCAGGCTTTGGCACAATTTTCTTTTAAATCTTTTCATCCTCTCCTTTTACTTTTTTCTCCTTGTCTTTGAGAAACATTCAAAGTAGTGTGGCTACGCTACACCTATCATAAGATCCACAAATTTAAATTACGCTGATAACCAGAGACCAGTGATTTATACTGTCTATTATTTATTTAGCATTACTGCCGTTCCCTTTGCATCGGCTTGCCAATGGCAGACATATCAATGTGGTTGTAATTTGTTGGGGTCAGGATAGTGGACATGGCAAAATGGGGAGAGATGGCATTCTATCAAAGGGAGTATTTCTAATACGTACAGATAACTCATTTTAAAGAATATTCAATTTGTGTAAGATATTTAATGTTCTAAATATTTACATTATATCATTTAACCTTTACATGAGCTATGATATTGGCAACTTAAGCTAAGAGCGGTTTCCACGACTGGCCCAGGTCACAGAGCTTGTATGTGGTACAACTGGTGCCAGAACACAGCATTATTAATGCTGGCCCATTTTTCTTCCCACATATACATTTGCATTAGAATTGGTCTGTTTTCTTTTCCTCAGAATCAGTATCTATTAGTAAATTCAGCCGCAAAATTCCAGAATAACTGGTGATCAGTGACTTCAACAAGTGGAGGGTTATTTTCTCACATAATGAGATGCCTGAGGTTGGTGGTCATTGGAGTTGGTAAGACCTTACTCTTTACCAGGATAGGAAAGCTAGGATTCGCCTGGTCCTTCCTGCACGGTCTCCAGATGGTTCTGCAGCTATAGTATCAAGTCCACACTGAACACAAAAAGATGGGGGAGGAGTGGTATTTTCTTACCAGGAAAACAAAAGGTGTCCCCAAACCTATACCCACCTGCTCCAGCAAAGCTTTACCTAAACATTGTGGGCCTGAGCTAATTCATGTGGTCACCTCAATTTTCAGAAAAGACAGAGACACAGTCTTAGCCTTTCCAACTCCTGTTGTGGAAGGAATTAGTAACAGATGTTGGATTTGAGCCAGGCTACCATTTTAATATTAGTACTAGGAAGACTTCTATAATTAGAGCTACAAATGATAAGTTCAAATGTTTGTATAACTTCTTAAAAAGCAAGGAAAGTAGCAAACACAGAATTCTTCCTTACTAGGTTGATAGCCTTATTTTAAGCATGAACCCATTTAAAAACATTGAAGAATTGCACCACCATGTTCGCTAGTCTTGGATCTTTTCTTTGGTCTTTAATATTTTGACATCAAAAATGAATTTAACTTTGGCTGATGAAAATTCCTATGTAAGATGTAAAGTGAACATTTCCTACTTTCTTTTATTTTCCAGTTCAACCAACTATATCCAACAGTGGCAGCCACCCTACAGAAATTATTGTGACTCGAGGGAAGAGTATTTCCCTGGAGTGTGAGTCACAGGGTATTCCTCAACCAACAGTGACCTGGATGAAAGATGGCCGCCCCTTGGCCAAGGGAAGGGGAATGGAAATACTGGGTGAAGGTCACATCCTTCAGCTAAAGAACGTTCATGTATCTGACACTGGCCGTTACGTGTGTGTTGTCGTGAATGTAGCGGGAATGACTGACAGAAAATATGATTTAAGTGTACACAGTAAGTATAAAGAAGCTCCGTAAGTCTGTTCATGGGCTGTTAGAATTTATACCATCCTGGATGGGAGATGGAGCCTTGTGTTGAGTCATTTATTTATAGTCTATTATTTTCTACAGATCTACCACTTCTCTACATCAATCTCATCATTTCCCTTCTATGCCTGATCTCTCATGTCTTACCTTGCTGATATAAGTATATATTGGATTTTCTTTTAGGAAAGTATGTAGTAATGTAAATGATTATCTCCAAGTACTTTTGGTCCAGTACTATCCCAAATAATATTCCTTGATTCTGTGTTTTCCAAATTAGGTGTCTTGGCTAGTATAAACCTTAGTTCCTTTGAGCTTACTGACTCAGCATCAGTTGGTCATGAGTTGTACTGAACTCAGCTTTATATTCAATTAATGAGTCATAAATGTCAACAGGAATAAATCAAATATGTACTAAGCGACACCTATTTGTGTATATCAATTTGAATTGTGATTTTTAAACTTAAAAATAATTTGTTTTTATTCAATTTATCTAAACAAAAAAAAAATCAAACAGTTCATCCAGTTTTCTACCCCTCTGCCACTCAGTTCTCTGCCTCTGGCAAACTTCAATCTGTTCTCTGTAACTATTAGATTGATTATATTTATTCATTCATTCATTCCACATATAAGAAGAGTCATATGGTATTTATGTGACCTATTTAATTTAGGATAATGCCCTTGAGGTATGTCCATGTTGTTGCAAATGGCAATATTTCATTCTTTTTATGGCTGAATAATATTCCATATATAATTCCACAAACAATGTATACCAAAATGTCTTTATCCATTTATCCATTGATGGACAATTAGGTTGTTTCCATATCTTGACTATTGTAAATAAGTCTGCAATGAACATGAGGGTGCAGATATCTTTTGAGTTAGTCTTCATTTTCTTCAGATAAATTCCCAGAAGTGAATCATATGAGGGTTCTATTTTTAACTTTTTGAGGAACCTCTATAGTGTCAATTATAGTGGCTGTACCAATTTACATTCCCATCAACTGTGCACAAGTGTTCCCTTTTCTCCACATTCTTGCCAACACTTGTTATTTCTCATCTTTTTTATAAAGCCATTCCAACAAGTGTGAAGTGATAATGTCATTGTGGTTTTGATTGGCATTTCCCTAATGATTAATGATGTTGAGCAACATTTCATGTTCTTGTTGGTCCTCTGTCTGTCTTCTTTGTTAAAATGTCTATTCAGATCCTTTGCCCATTTTTTAATTGGATTGCTTTATATTGGCTATTGTATTGTATGAGTTCTTTATATATTTTATACATTAGCCCCTTTTCACAAAAAATATCTTGGAGAAAAGACCGTATTCAATAGGTTGCCTTTTCATTTTGTTGATGGTTTCCTTTGCTGTGCAGAAGCTTTTTATTTTTTTATTTTTTCATGACCAAGTGGGATTTATTCCAGGGATGCAAGGATGGTAATATTCATAAACCAATCAATATCATATACCACATTAACTAAAAGGATAAAAACCACATGATCATCTCAATAAATGCTGAAAAAGCATTTGACAAAATTCAACATCTGTTCATGATAAAAACTAAAAAAATGGTCATAGTGGACATACCTCAACATAACAAAAGGCATATACAACAAAACCACAGCCAACATCATACTTAACAGCAAAAAGCTGAAAGCTTTTCCTCTAAGATCAGGAACAAGACAAGGATGCTCACTCTCCCCACTTTTATTCAACAGAGTACTGGAAGTCCTAGCCACGGCAATCAGACAACACAAAGAAACAAAAGGCATTCAGATTAGCAAGGAAGAAGTTAAACTGTCACTGTTTGCAGATGACATGATATGGTACATAAACACCCTAAAGAATACACCCAAAACTACTAGAATAACTGAATTCAGCAAAGTTGCAGGATACAAAATTAATATACATAAATCTGTTGCATTTCTAGATACTAACAATGAAACTAGCAGAAAGAGAAATCAGGAAAACTCCACTCACAATTGCATCAAAAAGAATAAAACTCCCAGGAATAAACCTAATCAAAGAGGTGAAAGACCCATACTTTGAAAACTACAAGACACTCATGAGAAAAATCAAAGAAGGCACATAGGTCCTCATATCTTGGGTGTATAGATATTTATGACTATTCCCTCTTGTTGGACTGACCCCTTTGTTGTTATGCTTTTTTCTCCCTATTAGTTGCATGAAATATCTTTTTCTCTCTATTCACTTTTAGTCTGTGTATGTTCTTGGGTTTGAAGTGAGGTAGCATAAGATGGGTCTTGTTTTTTTAATCCATTCTGTAACTCTGTCTTTTGATTTGTGAATTTAGACCACTTACATTTATGGTGATTATTGATAATACTTGTTGCCATTGCAGGCTTTAAATTCATGGTTACCAGAGGATTAAGGCTGCTTTATTGTCTGTCTAACTTAACTCGTTTATTACACCATTTGAAACACAATCTAAAGGAGGTTTTTTTCCTCCCTTCTTTTTCCTCCTCCTCCACTCTTTATATATTAGGTGTAATATTCTGTACTCTGTGTATCCTTTGACTGATTTTGAGGGTAACTGATTTAATTTTGCATTTGCTTAGTAATTAACTGGTGTACTTTCTTTACTGTGGTTTTATTTTCTCTGGTCACAGCTGTTTAGCTTCAGGAGCATATCAGTCTATAGCAGTCCCTTTAAAATTACACTGTAA